TTTGGATGAAATGAAATGAATAAATAAAACATACATACATACATGATGGGTTAAATGCAGAGAACCATTTTCATGGGAACATACAATGATGACAACACATTGCACTTATACTTGTTTGTCTGTAATGTTTATGTAGAAAACTATTTTCAAATAAAAAAACACTGAAACGTCTCATTTCAATTTAAAACGCTCATAAATCATTAACGACTTCATTCATCCGTTTTCAGCTTTTTCTCCTGGTTTCTATAAGGAGAAAACACCGAGACATGTTTAAAACAATCTTTTTCTTGTTTTGTGTGACAATAATTGTTTTTTATTACAACTTGCAGAGATGAAATTTGCTGTTTTGTAATAGTTTTTTCTTTCTCACACGGACCAGCATTTGTTCAACCGTTAGTCGTTTAGAAACCCGACATGCAGCAAAACATTTAGTTACAACACAGACAGCCTCGCCTAGTTTTGGGGTTCATCAGCAGGCCTTACCTGAGCCACACATGAGCAGCAGGAGCAGTGAGGTAATCCTCAGGATGGTCGCTGATTGGTTCAACATGGATCCTTCCAATCAAAACCTTTCTTTATTAAAAATAGAGTGTTTGCTCCCAAAACAAGACAAACTGAAAAATCTGTGTCTTGGTACCAGATGGACACCTGCTGTTTCCTATCCTCCTCTGCTCGGGACACTGTCTGTGTCAGAGGTTATATAGAAGCACAGGGGCAGATGAAATGAGAGGAAATGAGAGGGGTGGGTGGGGAGACAGAGAGCCACTTGTCACCCTCCACCCTTCCTTACAGCTTCTGTTGGTCATTCATGGAGAAAAACCAGAGACGATGATTGAAAGATGTCCATCTCCTGCTTCTGGTACCCTGAAGTTCTGTTTTTCTTTCTCAGAAATGGTTCAGATTTTACATCTTTATTTGTGTCAACTCCTTTTCTTCGCTTGTGTCTTCACCCCCTGCTTCCGTTTATCCACAACCGTCCAAGGCTGTTGGGTGAAAGGAAGGAAGGTTTCCAGGATCAAAGAGATGACGACAACTATACAGTTTTTATCTTAAATTTTGTTCCTTGATTCCTTTCCTGGTGGTGGCATTAGAGAAGTGAACCTGTGATCGGTAGGGTCGCTGGTTCAAATCTCCTGCTGTCCATAATTTCAAAGTGTGGGTGGAGAAGATGAAGCACTCAAATCTGCCTCCACCCTCATTTGCCCCACTCTAGACCCTTGAGCAAGACCCTTATACAAACTCCACCCAGAAAAGTCCTTGGCCAAGATTTAATCTGGCGACATTCTCACTGAAGCAACAGCTCTACCAGCTGAGACACTTTGCTGTCACATTCGCAACTATTTGGGTCAAATCTTTTAAATAATGTTTTGCATAATCCCATGCAATTTACGAGATCTCAAGCAATCTGTTTGCACTCAGAGTATGTGTTTGTAATGGCTGTTGACTACCAAAGTTTAGCTCAATATTCACAAAAATGGCTGAGTTATATTAATTTTTGAGCGGTTTCTGGGCTCAGTTGCTGTGGGAACCATCCTGAACTGGATGGACTCTAAACTTTAATTAGCTGTATTGTCACAGTTTCAAAGGTAGAACCCAGGAATGCAGACTAAAAGAAAGGGTTTGAGTGGAATAAAACCTAAATTTAATTCATAAACAAAACAACAGGCCAACGTGGAAACAGCTACTTACAAAATTCAATTCAGTTTATTTATACAGCACCAAGTCACAACAGAAGTCGTCTCAGGGCACTGAACAGAAACATTCATATATAAAAATAATAATTTAACATTATTTATCTGAGGAGCAGCTTTGAGTTTAACTCCATCACAGAACTCTCATCTTGAGCAAGCATGAAGGCGACAGTGGAAAGGAAAAACTCCCTCATGAGGAAGAAACCTTTAGCAGAACCAGACTCAGGACAAGCGGCCATCTGCTTCGACCAGCTGGGTTTGGTAGGAATAGATACACAATGGCAGGTCAAGAATCACATGTTAAGATAGAAATAGTGTCAAATGAAAACTATTCAATTTTAGCAATTCATTTTAAGAAATTAAGTCAGTTTTTCCTCCAGTAGTTTAAGCCTATAACAGCATAACAAGCCAACCCTAACTATAGGATTTATCAAAAAGGAAAGTCTTAAAACTGGACAATGTGTCAGCCTCACGGACAGAAACTGGACGTTGGTTCCACAAGAGAGGAGCCTGACAACTGGAAGATCTTCCTCCCATTCTGCTTTTGGAAACTCTAGGAACCACAAGTAAACCTGCAGTCTGAGAGTGAAGTGCTGTGTTAGGAAAATATGGAACAATAAGATCTGTAATAAAAGATGGAGCTAGGTTTACAAAACAAAAGTTACAAAATGTTGCATACCCTGAATGTTTTGGCATTATAACATACACACAGGTGTAAATGGCTACTGAAGTTATCCATCCTCACCTGTTTGCTTGCTTGTACAGACAAACATCTCAAAAAACTACAAACATTCTGTATTCGAAATCCCTCAGCGACAGCAGGCATTGGCACTTTGGTTAACTTTGTAGTTTTCTAACATACCATTGAGTTAAAATTGAGAATGGTATTTTACAAGGTGATGTATGTCAGTATTATAATTTAGAATGAATTGACAGTAATTGGGTTTAGGTTTCAGAATTGAATTAATGTGTTGGACTTGTTCTTTCTTGACGCCTTGCGATAACTTTTGTTGTGAAATGGCAAAATATAAAAAAAAGTTACTGAAATTAATTGAATCCAGCCTCGCCCATCCTTCAACAAATGCATGTGAGTGTAGTTTAGGAAACATTAATGCATCCATCAAAACACATTTATCAAAATAAATCTACACTCCCTGAAACCTTTTTGCAAGAAACCGATAGCAGCCATTCCTGTTTCTGCTTCTCACCTCTCTTCTCTCCAAAGTACAGAGTCTGTTGTGCAGTGTTGGACCACTGCAGGGAGGAGTTGTCGCTCTCCGCCACCCGGCAGGTCAGTGTCACTGTGTCCCCAACAGACACCGTTTCATCTGAGGTCACCGGCTGCAATGGGTCGTCGTCTAGGAAACGGTGGCGGAGAAAAAAGATAGATGTTAAAAGATGCTAGAGAAGCACTGCGCACATATGAAAGCACAAGCACAAACAGTATCACAAACAACAGCAGAGAAATCAGATAAAACCACACAAAACTACATTACCCGTCTCCCACCCTTGCATTCTCTCCATCTCCCCCCGCCCATTTCTTTCTCTGCTTGTCAGATTATCTATACATCTCTATCTGTCTTTCTGAGAGCACAGACGCCATGTGCACACACACACCGACATCTTGTCAGAGGCACAAAAAAAGCTGACAAATGGTTATCTGGTTGTATGTCTGTGAGGCCAATGTAAGAGCAATGAGTCAGAAGCATCCCTGGCATCCAGGGACTGCACAACCTGAGGGACCGGCAAAGATGAAGAGACCACGGCAGACTGTGGCTCTCCATAGGTCAAAGCAACAAGAGCGCTAACTCATGCCTCTAAGAGTTTTGTAACCATTTCCTCTTGTATTTATCGCTTGCTGCCAAAAAATGATTGAATGTGTGTCAGTGTTTGTTTGTATCGTTAGCAAAATATCTCATGAATCACTGGATGAATTTTAATTAGCCTCCCAGAAAGTAATCACTTGATGCACACGCCTCTAACTTTGTCAGTTTTACAGATATAAAGCGCAAATTTGGAGCGTCAGTAAATAATAATAATAATATTCACAGCAAATAATAAAGCACTAACGGATGGAGTGAAAACTGTTTTCAAAATTTAGTTAGTCAATTTTTCGTGTTAGCAAAATGTGTCATGAACCGCCGGATGGATTTTAATAAAACTTTCAGAAAACAATGATTGATGTACATCTACAACTATTTACATTTTAGAGTTAAAAGAACCGAATCACCAACTGACCTCTGGAAATACAAAACAGGCCGCAACTCATCCGATTTTATAGATTTTGAATAAAAATGTGGTGAAGTTATAGTTGAAAATCATCCCCATCACCTACTGCGAGCAGTACCGTATTTTTCAGACTAAAAGTTGCACTTAAAATCCTTTAATTTTCTCAAAAATCAACATTGAGCTTTATAATCCAGTGTGCCTTATGTATTAATTCTGGTTGTGCCCTTGAACCGATTTTATGTGGTACACGGTGCTGAAAAATCTGTCAAAATGTTTTTTTTTAATGCTTAATGCGCCTTATAATCCGGTGCACCTTATAGTCTGAAAAATACGGTACACATTGATCAGGAAAGCCAGTTTCACATATATTGTACTGAAACATAATGAACAGTAGCTGAGAATCCACGTCAACACAGAGCGCAATCCAATGTGCTCCATCTTTGCTAAAACTTTGGTATTAACTTTAAAGTCAGCACTATATAGGCAAATCATCTCAAACCGCTGGATGAAATTTGATGAAATGTTTGTACGTCTACAGCTGATTGACATTAAGACAGTCAATCAATTTATGACGGCTGCTACAGCTGATCTACCTTCGTCAACATGGAAATTACCATAATTTACTCAAAATTACAGATACCGTATTTTTCGGCATATAAGGCGCACTTAAAATTCTTCAATTTTCTCAAAAATCAACAGTGAGCCTTATAATCCGGTGCACCTTATGTATTAATTCTGGTTGTGCTTACTGACCTCGAACTCATTTTATGTGATTATTGTGAATGAGCTGAATAAAGTTTGACTTATCTGTTTTGTTTCGCTTAATGCGCCTTATAATCGGGTGCGCCTTATAGTCCAAAAAATACAGTAATCAAGTGAAGCTTATATGGTATTAGCCAAGAGTCATTCTCAGCATTAACACGTGTAGTTGTGGCAGATATGAGTGAAAACTCTGGAGTGAAAGGCAGCGGATGGTATGCGTTACAAGGCCTTTAACGTTGTTGATTTTTAGCATCATGCATATGTATTGACTGCAGAACAAGCTCAGACGGGATGAGCATTATGGAAATGGGAAAAAAAAAAGGGAATACAAATGACCCGTCATAAAGCAAGGACTCTGAAGGCAGTGACTGAAACTAGAAAACCACTGATGAGTGAACCGACTGGGTGTGTATTCAAATTGGCTGAAATTATGGTATTTAACAGTGCTCCCTTGATAAGGGGTGATAGCGCAGGCTAATTCTACATCGCATTCAGGGAAGGCGGTAAATGATTCTGTGAATCAGAGCAAGAGCTGTTCGTAAAATACGCAGTCCCTCGTTACGGTGAGTAATGACGAACACGAGCGCCGCTGTGCTTTTTGCCATGTTCAGTTATTGAGGCCTTGAGTGCGCTGCTCACTTCACAACGCGCCGGTGCTCGTTCAACCTCATCTCAAAAGCAAAATAAAAATACAGCATAACTTAAAAAAAAAAAAAAAAAGGTCAAGCCAACTGAGGGAGCATCTCAGAAGAGGATTTGCCTCAAGCGGTCCTCTCACCCCTAAAATACAGCGTGTATAAATAGTTTAATTGGAACCAAATTGTCAAGAAGGAGACAGGTCTATATACAGCGTGGGGTGTTATCACATCCAGGCACCGGTGCTTGAATTGAATTTTTTTTTATTTCTCTAAAGGAAAAACATCTGCTTAAATTTGCTTCAGCAGAACTCCCGTCAAGACATGAAAGCGGGCGCATGAAGGGAGGATGCAGAAGAAGAGGTGAGAAGACGAACTGCATGTAGCATCAAAAACGCACATTTGCAGAACATGAGCTGAGAGCAGCCCGCAGGAACTACGGACATCTTTTAAAGATGGAAGACGAGCTCAGCATCAGAACACATCAATTATTAGAAAAGGAAAGAAAAAAAAAAAAAACCTAAAGCTTTGCCTCTGGGCTGTGAGGATTGAAAGCGATAACTGCTCTTAAGGTACGGCTGCTGCCTGCCAGCATCAAAAGACGCTCTGACTCCACCGGCCCTGCGTGTCAGGAAGTCTCTGCTTCGCCCTCGTTGGAGTCTGAATGCAGCTCTGACCTTGTGGTAGGTTTATCTAAGCACCATGGAGGCTAAGGGTTGTATTTGCGGTCAAGTGCACCGCGGATTAGTCGTCTCCTTTAATAGCATCTTGAGCTAATTCTTGTGGCTGATCACATGAGCTTCTCTACTTGGCAGGAACACTTTGAGCAAATTGGCTGTCCCAGGGCATCATCAAGCCAACCACAAGGAGCTCTCAGAAGTTACCCAAACTTCTGCAGGGTCTGTAGTTGCAACTGAGCGCTAGCACACAGAGAACCTTCTGAAACATGATCAGTGGTCAGTTAGTGGCTTTTATGAAGGGATTTTTGAATGAACACCTTTGAAGAATTGTTGAGAGTGTTCTTTCAGTCTGGCTTTTTTTTTTGCCAACTCAGCTGTGCAGAAAGTCAACGCTGTGCAAGTTTGATTAACTTGCACTTTCATTTAATCAAATTTGAAATAAAGCAAAAATCACAGCTTGCTTTTCACTGGTCACAATCACATTACAGATCATAAAATATATTGGAAGCCATGTAGTTTATGTAAAATATATATATTTTAATGTCTTAATTCAGCCTTTTGTAGAGTTAAAGAACTGGATGTGAAGCGTTTGCATGTGTTGTACAGATCCTTTGTAATGCCAAATATATTGGGTGGAAAGTTGGGAAAATGCAAAAAAAAAAAACAAATCTGAACCAGTTGTTAAACTTTAAAAAGGCTCTTATAGAATTATTTATAAAGCCTCTTATAAATAACAAATAAATAATTTCTTGACTTGCACCAGATCTTACAAATTTACATTGTGTTTTAAAATAATGTTAATTTATTTTTCATGTCACAAACTATAGCCTACCTACATCTATCTATGCAGCATTTTTTTTTTAATTAACAGAAGATTTTTTTGAAGGTTTATATGAAAAAGATGTCCAGTTAATTAACTTAACTTTGACTTAACCCATATCAAGATGTTGCCACAGCCAGATGACCTTGGTAAACACCAAAATGGCCATAACTCAACCAGTTTTGTAGATACTGAGCTTCAGATTTGGTGTGACAGTATCCAAACATCAGCAACAATACCTAATTAAGGTGCAACACACTGCACAAAATCTTTGCTTAAACCTTTGATACGAGCTGTTTGAATTAACCTGTTTGTCTGTTAGCTGGACAAATTTTCAGTAACAATTAACTGTACTTCCACAACTGTATAACTACCGCAGTTAATTAAACTTAGCCAACAACAAATGGCTATACTTCAGTGAGTTTTATAGATTATGAGCTACTATTTGGTTTGGTAGAATCTAACAGTCTTTCACCGCACAGTCTGAGAACACTCATATCACACACGATAACTCAAAATTGCACAAGATTGCAAATGTTATCTTCAACTTTTAGCACAAACGGCTAACTGCATTGTTCTCAACAAAAGTGGTTTTAGTTTAAAACTTTGGCATGAAACAGGTATGGCTACAGGTGTGCAGTGGAGAGCATCCTGTGCTCCAGCATCAACGTGTGGCATGGAGGCTGCACAGCTGCAGAAAGAAAAGCTTTGCAGAGAGTGGTGAAGGCTGCACAGAAGATGTTGGAGTCAGTCTCCCCACCATCACAGACATCTACACCTCCAGATGCAGGAAGAGGACCACCTGCATCATGAAGGACCCCGCTCACCCAGCACACATGCTTTTTGCTCCGCTCCCCTCAGGAAGGAGGTTAAGGAGCATTAAGTGTAGAACCACTAGACTGAGGAACAGCTTCTACCCTGAAGCCGTTAGACTCCTGAATCCCTAACCAGAATAACTGTGTTTTTTTTACCCACTCTATTAAATAAAAAATTTAATTAAATAAAAAAAGAAAAATCACTGTAATGCCACTATAATTGGTGATATGTGACTTATCTGTGCTGCTGATTATCCATGCTGCTGATCTCATGCTGCTGTTTATCTCATGCTGCTGTATTCATTCATACCTATCTGCTTACCAAAGACTCATGTTGGGGCTGCTGTTGATACACTGTATTATTTTACATGATAAGTTTTCAGCGTATATTTTAGATCTTTTAGCGTACCGTTTGGC